AGATCTAGAAACAAATCGTTGTGTATTTGAATTTGATCTGGAGTAGTTATTTCGACTATTTGGTCTATTGTAGTGATTTTGTGATGAATTATTCGTGTTTCTTCGTTCTGGTGATCTTCCTCTATAACTTGAGTTATATGGTGATTGATTTCTTGTATAATTTGTATTGTTCGGGAGTGGTTTTCCTGAACTGTTGTTGCTGTAAACTGTTTTGTTCGGTAGATTTTGATCTTTTTTCATGTATTGATAGAATGATTTATTTGGTTCTTTATATTTTTGAGGTTTATTTTGATTGTCTTGCTGTTTTTGTCTACATTCGGAAATACTATGTCCGTATCGTCGGCAATAATTACACCATTTTTTGAAAGATGGTTTGCCTTTAAAGTTCGGGTTCTTTTCGTAAATATTGAGTATTTCAGTGATTTTTTCAACGAGGTCTGTCTCTGATTCCTGTATATTATTAATATTAGTGGGAGTCGTTTCAATTCTATTAACGTATTGTAATTTCAGATTTTCCGTTTCTTCTAGTTTCATCGTGATTTCTGCTTGTTCTAATTTGTCTACTAGTTTTCGAAAATCTAAATCGGGTTCTCGAATTGAAGAAGGATGGGATGCTCTCTTTTTTATTGCTATTTTCCTTAATTGTGGTGTTAAGGTCATCATTAAGATTTCTGTCATCTTTGTGTTTTTATAGTCATGTGTATTTAATGAATATGCTTTTCGAACTAGTGTTTCGATTCGTACTGCTATTTGCTTGATGGTTTCGTTTGGTAATCTGCGAATTTCATTACATAAAACTCTTTGTTGTTGTTTGTTTCTTTCGGAGTCAAACATTTTTGAAAATTCCTGTGTAAACCTTTTCCAGTTTGATTTTATTTCTAGAGGTAGTACTGAAAACCATTTTTGGGCTGCGCCATCTAAGGTTGTTTGTATTAACGCTGTGCGTCGATGTATCCAATTTTGATGTAGTGGCGTATTTATTGGTTCAGGTCCAATATTTAAAATCAGGTTGGCTGTTACTGCATTTAAATAATCTTCTACAGAGTATTCAGGGTCTGTTCCTGTGAAAACCATTAAAGGTTTGTTTGATGTTATTGATGATCCACCCATAAGGTATGGATTCATTGTCATTTGTAATGATTCTGCTGCATTTGGCATTTGAGAAAAATTTGAAAGTTGGTTTCTTGTTATTTCATGTTGTTGGAGATAATATGGGAGTGGTATTTCATTTTGCATTTGTGATGGTTGATACGAGTGTGCAGTCATTGGATTTTGTTGTTGAATTGGTTGAAAAGATTGTGTATTAATTAGATTTTGTTGTTGAATTGGTTGTTGATGTTGTGCATCTATTGGTTGTGGAGAAAAATTTCTATGATTTGTACGTGTTCTCTGTATTCCTTGTCTACGATATTCTTGAGTATTTGGTGCAAATGAATCTGGTTGTAAGAAATCATCATCTGAGGATAAATAATCCATTTGATAAGATGTCTGTTTTTTATTTTTATTTTGTTGAAAAAATGGGTAATTTTCACTGTGATCCTGTGGGGGATTTGTTTGGAAATTTATTGAATTAGATTGGGTCATTGGGTTATCCCAATTTCGAGATCTTGTATATTGGTTAAAATTTCTTTGTGGTTGGTTATATGTTTTTGATGGATGTGTATAATTATAATTATGGTCTGCAAAGTTGTTTCTAGTGAATGTTTTGTGTGTTTTTGATGGTATTGTCATGGGTCTGTATGTTTGGTAATCCATATGTGAATATTTAGGGGCAACCGAAGGTTTAACGGTTGATTGTAAGGTTACCTGTGTTTGTGAAGGATTTGTATTTCTTGGTGTTGTTAAATTTGGGCGTATTGGTGAAATACTTTGTTGTGTAGTTGTTGTGTGTACAATTTCTTCATTTATGAAGTGTGATGGTGTCTGGATATCTTGTTGAGTAAGATTCCTAGTTCCATTGAGGTTTTCATTGTGTATAACTGTAGAGTTTAAACTATTATTTTGTGTATCGGGTAAAAATGTATTATAGTTTAATGGTGTCGCATCAATGGTTAATGGTATTACTTTTACATAATCTCTTATGTAAGATATTGTACTTATTGCTTGACTTGAGATTGTTTGTGGGAAGCTTATAAATGCGGGATGAGACCATTCGGGGTCCCAAACATAATCTGATTGTTCTGTGATAGCGGTATCATCGTTCGAGTTTTGGGGTCTAAAATTTTTTCTTGCTTGTGCAATTAAATCAATATTGTGTGTGAAATAATCTATTATGAACCATGCCAAAATTTTTTGTAGATCGTGTTTTGTATGTTGTGAAACGTCGTCTTTCGTGAAATTTTCTTTAATGATGTTTAAATAACTAGAGAGTAGTGTGATTTCATGTCGTACTCTTAAATGTTTAGATGTTTCTGTCGGTGAGACATTTGTTATTGGGATTTCGTTTTCTAATATCGAAATATAACTATATATTATTGCGAAAACTTCATTGGTGAATATGGAGTTTGCTCTTTGTGAGTTATGATATTGGATGCTTTTTATATATTCTGAAAAAACTTTTGAAAATTCTAAATCAAGATCGTCTGTTTGAATTGTATATTTTCTATTATTATGGTTTGGTGAGGTGAATTCTATGGAGTAGATTCCATACTGTTGTGTTATGTTGCATATATCTTTTAAGTAGTGGTCTATGATTTGTCTTTTGATTTTTACATCTGGGAACTCTGTTTTACATGGACTGATTCCGGGTTCAAATAAATTTAATAGTAAATTTTTGCAAAATATATGCTGTCCTCTATCAGTGGTTGCATCTACTATAAAAGGAAAGATTTCATCATCATCTGGACTTTCTTCACCTGGAGTGTGCGTTGAGCTCATTTTTTCGTTCGATGACTGTTAATATGTAATTATTAATGTATCGAATTGGTTGATTCCAATTGTATAAATGTACTGGTTTGTGTTTATACTGCTTTTTTATTCTTCTTTTTCCTCTTTTTGATGAATTTGAAGTTGTTTCTGAGTCAGAAAAATATAATTGATCGTGAAGTGGGTAATTTTTATCTATTGATTCTTTTAGTTTGTAAAGTTCGTCTAAACTGTTGGTTTCTGATTCTGAAAATGCGTTTCGGTTTTTTGAAAATCTTTTTCGTGTTATTTGTCTTTGTTTCGTTATTATTTTTCTTTTTAGTGTTTGTCGTTTTGTTCGAATGTATCCAACTGTTTGTGTATGAGGTGTGATTACAAGGTCGTATTTTTTGTTATCTATTTCACAATTGTGTAAAACGATTGTTTGTTTATTTCCTAGGTTTTTAAATGACATAAGGTTTAGGATGACGGATGCAAAAGGTTGTTAAATGATTTCTATTTTCCTAAACTGTTAGTTCTTACGATTTTTTGGTTAGCTTAACCTGGGTCTATTTGTTCAGGGTTGGAGAGAAAAGTATATCGATTCCGAAGAATGATTTTTTATTTTCTCGTGGCTAGTATAAGTTAAGGTGTTAACTTACTTAATCTTACTTAGGGGTAGTGATTGTGTTCAAGGGTTGGAGAATAGTAAATCGATCCACAAGGTTCAGGTATAATTAGAACGCGAGTAGTTCGTTAGATACTATTTTAAACTTACTAAGTCTAAGATTTATCCTGGGTCTGGTAAGAGGGGGGGTCAAGTGAAGGATGAATAACCGAAGTTCTTCACTATTTATCCTAATTTGAATGATTAGTTTTGTTTAAAAATTTCTATTAGTCTTAGGTCTTTAGAAAGGGTTGGGTAGTGAATCGACGTTTGAGGTCGTTAGACACTAATTAAGTGGGTGGGGGAGAACAAAGTTGTTCTGTTTGATCCAAGGATAAGCCTTGATGATCAAATTTGAAATTTAATTAAGTAGAAAATGATTTAAGATCCAAGGATAAGCCTTGATGATCTGGTTTTAAAATTAAGTGAATTTAAGTTTTAATAAATTTTTAAATGTGTGTAAAGGAAAGATTTAGTGTTTTGATGATATTAGTGGGTTTATGATTGCTGTTATGTTTTAGGTGATGGAGCTGGAACAACAGGATGATTTATGATTACTAACCATTTATTGTCATGCTACTAATTTTTATTTTTTATTTTTCAATAAATATTTTTCAAACATATTTTGTATATTACTGCAGAGTTTTAGGAAAACGATCTTAGATCTTTTTATCAATCGTTATTGTATATTAATAATTTTGTTTAGCGCCTGAAATGATTTTGAAGATTAACTTCAAGGTTTTATGTTTGCAAATGAAAATCTAAATTCATTGCCAGTAATATTCTAAATATAAAAGTTTGTTCTGGTTTTTGCCTAACTATCATATAGCTATATGGCAAGTTTCTACTTTGTCGTATGTCGTCTCTGGTTCGAGGTCTTCTTCCAATTCCGGGTAGTTCTGTTATGGTTCGGAATATTGGCTCTGATCTATTGAGTCGTAGAGACATTTCGATTAAATTATTGTCGTATAACATTTTGTAAATGTTTTTGTCTAATTTCTAATCTATTTTGGTTAATTCTAAGCTATTAAGGTCTTGTTCGAGACTTATGGTCGCACCAGATGAGTTAGGACCGAGTTGGTTAACTCATAGAGTAATTTCGGATAGGGTACACCGTCTGCTCGTCACGCTATCTTATTTTCGGCCGGATAGATTCGTGCAACTTCTTAGTCTAATACCGATCCTAATCTTACTCTTATACTATCTAGTCTCAGGTTGTTTAACTAGTCTCTGCTAGGCTCAATAGATCTAGGGTATACTGGTTTATTGCGGCTGCTGAAGTGCTCGGGAGAGTCCAACTAATTTCTAAGTTAAATTCAAATCTCTCTGGTGCTGAAATTACAAGTAACTTCAGCACTTACAAATAAGTGGGTTGTTAGTTAGATGGATCATGATTGGTTAATATTAAATACTTTACATTGGTAAAATATCTAATTTATCCAATCATAAAATGTAGTTTAGATCAGGTTCCACCAACCTAATGTTCCAGCCTGTTCCTACATCATCCTCTCCTGGGTCGTATCCTCCGACCGAGATGACATGTGTGTGGTGGATTTCTCCCTGCCCCCCTGGTTTTTCCTCTGGGGCGGATTCTGGTCTCTCTTCGGAATGCTACTCCTGCCTACCTTACTCATGTTGATTGCATATGCTCACATATCATACACTCTGTCCCGGATGCCGCCTCACTCGAAGGGTATAACTTCTGCTCATAAAATTGGTTCTTTTTGACAAAATCTATTTCGATGTAATTGATCAGAATAAAGTGGAAAATTAGACTTAGGTAATAGGAATGATTAGATAAAACGGGATGAAAGATTATATCATTAAGATTAAATTTGTGGCAAAAATTTTGGTTTGTTTTTTGGATATTTTTTCCTGGTGTCTGGTTTAAAAAATTATTTCCATTTCATTTATGCTACACTTATTCGATACGAATTCTAATTGTCGTCGCAGCAAAACAATGCAATTTTCGTAAATTTCTGAGCTTAACACTAATTCACTGCATTTATTTAACTTGCGAAAGCGAGTTTCTTGTAACCGGGAACTAGACTTTTTCCCGGTAAACAACTTTTCTTACAAATTTTCAACTTGATTTATTATCGAACTTCAACAACTTCCGGGTATATTCCCATTTGGCCTAGAGATAACGCGTCGCCTTTGCACTCAAAGGTCTAGAAATCGGGTCCCAAATGGACCTTGTTCTTTCAGTATGATTTTGTCGGACTTTCGTTTGTCTGCTCAAGTTTTGTCGGCTTAGTTGTCACGGATTTTTTTGTGATCTAAGCAACATTATTTGAAATTGCAAATAAAAGTGTTTTCATTGTAATTTTATGCGGGACTTGGAAATGTAAGAAAAATTATGCTGCTCAAAGATGCTGCTCAAAGATTGTCGGCTTAGTTGCCCCATTGGCATGTTTGCTTAGAATTTCTGTTTGATAAAACAGGTATTAGCCCTGTTTGATAAAAACAATCTCAAAAAGTGCTCTACCGCTTTGCAAGAGAAGGATACCAATGGAAAGTCCGCCCATTACCCTGTGTGCCTGCTTAATCCCCTAGTGTAATTTTACCTTTTCTACAGCGTTGAAAAAAAAGTAAGTCTGTAGGGTGAACATTTGACTCAAATTTTTGGAAGTTTTTGCATTTCCTCGAAAATTAGCCTCCCAAATTGAGACAATCAAGGGATAAAGCGGGTTGTGGGACGCTCCCCCGCCTAACCGGCTACGTCCAAATTTTTTTTACACAAAAATGATGGCTGTCGTAAAAGTCATATTCTCGGTTTTTAACCGTCTTTCTTAAACTTTTAAACTTTTCTCGATAAATAAGTTGTGTGAATTCTTCTACATGAGCGGCTATACTTGAAATTTTGCAAAAAATTTTTGTTTCTCGGAACAGCCCATTTGTTTTTTGTTCCTGTTTTTGAAACTATTTGACTTTTCTAAGCTTCTGGGTTCACTCGAAATTACACTATGTGTAAATCTTTTCTGCGTAAGCAGCCACGCCCAAATTTTATAACAAAATATCTTTAATTTTTCTACTGTTCTGGATAACTAGCCTGCCAAATCTGGTATCAAGGGTTAGATTGATACATCAGCTTGTTGAAAGCCTACCTTTTTAAATGGCTACGCCCAATTTCCTTTAAAAAAAGTAATTGCCTTTTCATTTGCTCTCGAAAACTACCTTGTCAATAATCAGGATAAGTGGTCAATCGTGAACCCCGGTTTTGTGAATTTTCTCTGCTGAAGCTGCCTCGGAGTAATTTTTGCAGAAAATAAGTTATGGATTTCGGAAAGTGAAGTTTGTAAACTTTTGACTGTTTTTTAAAAACTTTTTGACTTTTCTTGAAAACTACCCTATTAAATCTGAGCTGAAGGGTTTCATCGAAAGAACCGGTTGCAAAAATTTTTCCTACGAGCGAAAATTTCTTAATTTTTTGTAGGGAAATGTTACGTCTTCGGGAAATTTCCAATATCTCAAAATGTTTCTACTCTTCTCGCATAATTAAGTTGAGAAACAACTAAGGTTTTGGGCAAAGTCATATTTTTGAATCTACCCATTCCATACCACATGAGTATACTAAATTCAAAAAGTTTTAAACTCCAGCTTTAGTTGGGCCCCTAGTTATATTTTATCGAGACGTACGAAAGTTTTGGTTCACCTAGTTTTTGTTTCAATGTTTTTTTTTTAGTTTTTTTTTTGTTTTACATTTGTTTAATCGCAAATTTGCGAAGCTCAGTTTTGCCTCCGTGTTTTGATTGTGTGTTTATTCTGTTTATAGGTAGACGACTTCAGAAGAGGGTGACTGTGTCCTGTTTCGCAGTGTTGTCCGTCTTCTTCATCTGCTGGCTCCCAGACCAGATGTTCTTTTTCCTCTTCTCCCTCAACCTGCCCTCCCTCCCCCAACTATCACTCGGCAGGCATGTTGCATAAGGAAAAGTGTACAATTCACGTCTGTTTTGTTAAACGTCCGACTTCGCTAATAAAACACTATTTTTTATGACAAAAATTAGTTTGAAAAAAGGTTTACCTATTTATTATTGTTGTGAATTGCTTGTTTATGATAAGGAATTGACATAGGGGCGATGAATTTAAATGTCTTGTTGGACATGGGCATCATCTGAAACCTAGCTATTGCAAATAATTCCAAAAATGAACTTAAGCTTGCTATATCTCAAAGTTTAGCTCATTCAATTTGACCCCCCCCCCCTAGATTTATCTAATAATAATTCGTTTCTTGGCAACATTTTGTTTGATAACTTTTTAAAATTATCCTTGATGTTTAGCTGGACCTACCATCTGGTACTAAACCTGGGATACGCAAACAGTTGCCTAAATCCACTATTGTATGCTTTCTTCAATCCAAATTACAGACGAGTATTCAAAAGTATGTTGGGTCGCGGAACAGTAGCAGTGTCAACAGGACGAGTGAACTAGATCGCCAGATGGAGAATCAATGAGAACTCCAGTTCGAAGAAAGTGCATGAGCAATAAAGACTGCGTTTCAGATGTGAAAGAGCGGACTGATTTTCATTTAAATATGTCTTGATGATTTTTTGTGTTTATTCAAGAAAAATCTTAAAAATTGTTTGCGTTCAAGTTTGATTTTTCGTGATTTGACTTGATTTTTAAAAGTTATGTTTAATTCCTTTGTTAAAAGGAATGCTAACTCCACTATCGAACAGCAAAGTGAAGTGTACAAAAAGGTCACAAAGAACGTTCCTTATTTCAAAAATATATTTCAATTGTCACAGCGGATTTGATTCAGTTTTTTCCAATTTCAGTTCAAAAAAGCAATTTCAATTAAAAAAAGTAAATTCAAACAAAATCATAAATTTTTCTTGAAATTCAAAGAGCTGTAAGTAATTTTTTTGTAAATTCAATATGATATTTATCCTTGCGTTTATTCAAATTTACCTAAAAGACAATCAGGACCTCTATAAACTGTTTTTTAACTTCAGCCCTTAAATTAATTTGTTTGTTGAGTTGATGCTGGCAGTCTTCTCTTTACTCTCCAGGATATCCTACTAAATGAGCAGTACTGCCCTTTAGGATCTCCCTCCAGACATAATATATTGCTTTTGGCGTTGTATATGTAGCTGGTAAAGTAATTCAAATTATCCAATAATCACAATCGAATTTTTAAGTGCCACTAGACAAGGATCAAAAGCAAATTATCAGTGTTTGTTTTTTAAATGGCAATGTTTGTCAAAACTAAAGTTTATATTCACAGAAGAAAAAATAAATGTGTTTTTTTCATTTTTCACATTTTCGTTTTGCGCGCATCTTCATATTTTTAACTTTCAGATTAGTCCAGCTTTATGTTAATCGAGCGGTCACCTTGATTTAAAATGAGTAAAAAGTTTACGCGTAAAACAGAATAAAGTAACAAACAAAGTTAAACGGCAAAAATGTTCTGAAATTTTGCGAAAAACATAGCGTTTCAAGGTTGATGCGTGTTAGAAAAATATTAAGGTTGGTCAGCCTATAAAGGATGCCGTAAATCTAGACAAAAAAAGACGTTTGGGTGGTCAAATGTTCGAATCCCCGAAGCAAAAGTCCGGAAGAAATCGCAAAAAGTGAAGTTATTTACTTCTGGAGATGTTCTGTTAGGAGCAGACTGCTTTCCTCCGTTCTACTTTTGCCGCTTACAATTTAATAGGACAAGCATATCGTGCGTAATTCATCCTATTATGATAACAAGTAGTCAAAGTCACGAAATTGAAACCATGGTAAATTATTGAGAAAATCAATTACTGGTAAAAACATCTTACTGTTCAATCTTTGTCATCAACATCATTAGACTGCAGAAAATCTAAATTTTTCGGAAGAAAGTATAACTCCGAGCTCAAATATGCCGTAAGTTGAAGAAGTCAGCTATGGGATCCAATCAAGGGACAAATTGAATGGATAGCAAATCTTTGAGACAATTTACTGAGCATCGCTTTTGTCGAAAACGAAAACTTGAGTTTCTACTGACTGATCCTAAACTTTTTAAGCTGTCTATTGCGACATGCACTTATTTTAGGAAGGAGCGCGCAGCAAAGAAATGCTATTTTTGGTAAAAACTTTACAACAATATCTGATAATTTGATGCCAAAGTCATTTGCCTGTGGCACACAAAGTTTTCTCATGAAAGATGTCAATCGTGTTTTGGGATAGCATAAAAATCAATTTTGTTGACCTAATTTTTCTTTTTTTGAAAAGAAGCCTCTCAGCCCTCATTGCCAAGAAAATCTTAGATCCGCGCCTAAAAGAAAATTTCAGCTGGCACAAAATGATTTGAATTTAACTATACTAGTGATTAGTTTCATCAACAAGACTTTTTATCAATCTAGTCGTCTGAGGGAGCTTTTTTGGACATTTTGAGAACTTCGAAGTAAGAGTAGAGAAATGCCTGGCTCAATGCACTGTTCTGTTCCATGAAATTCAGTTCTTGCAGCATCAAACTAAACAAGGAAATGTGTCAAAGTTACTTTTGCAAAAAAATTGTATGTTATTTTAAACCACAAGGGACGCAGCGTCGGTTGTTTGATTGTAAAGAGCCGAAGTGCTCGTGTGTGAACCCTTTTCCTCGTGGAAAAATCGTCGTAACTTAACTGAGCAAAAGAAATTTTAGAGGAACTTTTGATACTTTTGGTTTTGGTTGACTTCATATTTAATGTCCATTTTGTACCCTAAGAACATTAAAATTTTCTGCCTCTTTCTTTGAAAAAAAAATTGAAAACTTACAAGCTAGAGGCATGTCAGAATTATATGAAGGTTTTGAACGTCCTATCTTGTCAGGATTGAATTTTGTACATAATTATTTAAAAAAGTTTGATGCATTAAAAAGTTTGATGCTTCTGATAGAGAGTATGCTTGACCGGGATCTACTCATTAATCCCCCGTATAGTGTTAACTAAAGAATCTTGTAAATAACCCTGTAAATAATAACAAAAAGTTAACGTTACATCTTTTTAGAGAAAATTTTAACTTTGCTGCATTCTGATTGTTGAAAATTGGCTTATTAATCTACGTAGCAGTCTGCCCTTTTCCTGATAGGGAGGGGGATTGTTAAGTTGATATTTTAATTGCTTACGGGTTCCAGTTGTCGTATTCGTTCATCATCTCCTCGTAGGCCACCTGTTCCGCCGTCGCCATGTTCTTCATCTTCTCCAGCATCTCCGCCCTCCGAATCAGTTCACGCTCCTCCCACAACTGCTCCGCCGCTGCACAAACGAACACACGCGCATGCAAAATGAGGAAGCGGTCTTTACTATTCCATTCTTCTACTGGTAAAGTTTCTCAGCAATTATCACTAAATTAGTAAAAGTAGGACAGAGTTGGGTTACAGATTTTAAAAACTTTCGAAAATTTGCTGACCTTTTTTTGGGTCAAATTCATTAAAACCCTTGAGCCAATAATTTCTGCAATGCAGTCAAGCTTTTGAGAAAATGTGTCGCAGTTTGTTTTTGGATATGACCAAAAATTGCATTTATTTGACTTTTTCGACTGGTGTTTGCTCTAAAATTTACTAATATTTGGCTCCGAAGGCGACTTTCGAACATTTTTAGGCTAGCCACAAATGGATGTTTTGAGAAAGTACGAACGGTAGAATTTTTTAGTAATAAGAAGGTTGATAAGGATGCAATGCATGTAGCAAAATTGTTACGTTAATCATAAGTTGTTAAGTCTAAAAATTAAATTCAAATATGGGGGGAGTCCAAAAGAAGCCAAGGAAGGCCAGTTAAAGCACTGTTGGAAATTGCATCAGCCAAAAACGAAAAGATAAAACGTTTCAAATGTTTTTAAAGAATTCCTTATTTTAGAATGTAGGATTGGCTAATTAGCCAAAAAAAATGCGCCGCAGCAAAGTTTTATAAAATGTTGTTTTTGGGCACTTTTTGGAAAATTTTGACCAAAAAATTGCGTTTTTTTTGGCGCGCTGCCCTTAAAAATTAATATATATTGGCACCAAATACGCCTTTAGAAGTTTGGTTGGTCAGCCGACATGGATGTCATAAAATATTAACAAAAGGGGGACCCTTTGGTTGGTGAGGAGGTCGAATTTCTAAAAGGGTCGACCGCCCCTCCCGCCACCCCTTAATCCGCCCTGCCCCTAATCCCAGCATAAAAAGCGAGCTATTAAAAATCAAGTGATTTTTTTCACCACCCGCTCCGAGCTCGCGTTAAACTTTTCTCTCTTCATGTCCCTGCCTGGCTTCTTCCACTCTACCCTTGCTCTCTTTGTATTTTACTGTTTGTGTCTGGCTCTGTTATTCACCGTCACCAAAGCAGAACTCACTCAAGCTAGGATTGCAACCTCGCTAGCAGGCCTTAGTTTGAGAGAGGCTTGAGAGAGGATTATAAAGAACCAAGGAAAAAAAACGCAATTCCACGCAAAAATTCAGGCGAAAGCTTCAGGGTAGAATTTATGAAAACGGAGAAATTTCGAAATAGTCGTAATTGATGGCGAGATTGGCCATCATTTTTTTTATTTGAACAGAGCGTACTTTTCTTCTTCATCTCGGCACTCTTCTCTCTTTCTGCCTGCAGAGCAAGTCGTTGTTTCTCCCTAAAACGAATCGAAAACATTTTGCATATGCTTAAATTTGCCATTATTCCATTTGATCCACACCCTTCATTCAATTGAATGAGGCAACTAGTGGTTTGACAGGGATAAGTATGCGGACCGATAAGTTACTGCTAATTTTACTCTATCAAATTTTGGTAGTGTGCGCAAATCCTCTAAAGTTTGCATGCACGCAAAGCAATTTTAAATAAGTGTGTTTTTCATTAATAACCAAATTAATACCACTCAATATGCAACGTAAAAGCAACATTTCATGCTAATTTGTATCCATTTGAGTTGATGAACGTGGATTTCTTATTCAGACACTGTGAATCAAAAACAGACTTGATGAATTCGTCCATGCCAAGTGTCTTCATCATCTCCTGATGCTGCCTCTCCTCTTGTCTCTTCAGCACATCCTCCTCCCGCCTCCTCTTTTCGTCCGCCTTCATCTTCCTCCTTCTCAAGGCCTCTATCCTCGCCCTCTCCTCGGGCGGCAGCTTACTCAGGTCAATCTAGAAAAAATTAATCCGCTTTTTTTCCCGTTCTCTCACTTCCCTCGTAAGAGAAATTAGTTTGAACATTGTTGATACGTCAATTTGTATGCGTGAAATATCAACAAATGTTAAATTCTTGGTTGTTCACTTGTTTTTACTGCAGTTTAGATCATCAAAAGAAACGCTTTCATAAATTCAATTTCAGAAAAAAATCAAATGTGGACTGAAAAAGAGTTTTTTAAAATTTAGTTTAAACATATTAGGCGTTGTCACAATTTGAAGACAGCTCAACTCTGCAAAATTTATTTAATTCAATTGACTAAAAGTTTTATTACTTGTTCATTAAGGTTGTCCATTTTTTGTTTTGTTTTTCTAATGAGAAATGGTGAGAGATGTAATACATATCAATTAGTTTTTGCATACAAATTTGAGAAGAAAATTTAAGTTTCAATTAAATAGTTTGGATAGAACGTTTACTCTGACCTCTAAATGGTTTGTTTCACAGCAGACAAATAAATTGCGCCCTATTAATTGTCTGCTTATGTTTTGTCGGCTCACATTCCAGACTTTAAAATCGATTACTTTTAGTGCAAAAGATTTTCGCTGTAGGTGCTTTAGTTGTTTTAGCATTCTAAAAATGCTTTCCTTTTCACCTTGTCATTTGATTAGCTTGATTTGTTAAATTTTCGTTTTTTTTTAAAGTTTTTTTTGTCTTTTTTCGACTCAATCGTTTTTGGTTTCTTTATTCTATTTAGTCGCCCCCTTTTGCATCGTTCGATGACCGATAAAAGTTTTTGTGTGCGTGTGAATTCCGAGGGGAAGAGGGACCTTAAAAATTTTTTCGGCATGAAGGGCTTCTGCTGAAGTTTTTTCTGTTTTCTTTACCGCTTGGTAAATTTTTTTCTGATGCTTTTTTTGCAATAAATGGTCATGAAATAATTTGTTTTTTCAAAAGTATCTTCATATATTTTGATAGATTGATTGTATGTATAGTTATAAAACATCGATATGAATTTTTTGCTGATGATTTTTCGGCTTTCGATTTAGCTGTTGGTTTAATTTCCGAATTGTCATACCACCTTAATTTCATTACAATCATGGTTTTCGTTTAGCAATTTGGTTAGTACATGTATATTTTCCAATAAGACTGACGAACAACTTTGATTGATTTTCAGGTAACTGGCTGTCGGCTTTAATTCTGTCGGTTTCATTACCTAATTTTTTGTTTCGTACAATTTTTTGATTTTATTTAGATCGTTAAGACGTGCTACCTTAAAATGAAAGCTTCAATCCAACTTGAAACTCTTTAAAAAATTGAACTTAAAAAAAATGATTTTTTGTTCCTTCGAGGGTTACAACTTTTGAAGTCCTCTTTGATAGTTCTTGATTGACTTGCTGTTCAATCCTATATTTGTTGTATCTCAAATGGTACGAAGCTCAACTTCGCCTCTGTGTGGATTTTGAGCTCGGGTAACTGAGATCTTCAACTACGTATCAAAAATCATCAAAAATGGTCTGAAGAAAAAAATATGCCGAGACTTTTATTCTGCATATTTCAGAATTAGGAGCAAAATACATAAATGACTGCTCGTATATCAGGGCAAAGCAAAGTCTGAAAGTTCTGAGTGCCACTTTATTGGTATCGAACAGTTGTTTGTTTTTAAAATATTTAAAAACTAAAAATTTTTGGACAATATCAAACATCAGATGTGGTAGTTTGTGTAGAGCAAAACTAATTCGACAAATTAGCATAACTCACGTCAATTTGGAACACTTTTGTAGTGTTGTAAAAATCGCCCCGCATAAAAAAATTGCGGTACGCTTTCAGGATTATCAAATAAACTGTTCACAGCGCGCATAAACTAGCTCAGAGCTTTGTTAAAGTAGCAGTTTTCAAACACCTAAAAAGTAAGTTGAAACATCTTCTTTTAATTCAACCCGGGGATAATAATATCCCCTTCGATGGGATAATAAAAAATTTTGGTCAGACTTTGGTTGATATCGCATGATCTTTATTTTTTCACAATTAATCTTATAATTTGTATGAAATTAAACGCATCTAATTAACTGATTTCATTTTAGTAGATTAATTTTATAAATTTTGTGAAAATTTACTGCATGTTTTTTCAGATGCACTTTTACCAAAAAATTGTTCGATAAAACTGCCGCAGAGAAAAGTTATGCAAAAAGATTATCAGTTAACACAGTTTTCAAAAGTGCTTCAACAATATATTTGGTTATCAAAGTCAAGAAAGTGAGGTAATGTATATTCAACTCTTTCAATACTTACGTCATCAAAAGCGTCTGAAACACAAACAATTTCTTCGATCAAGTTTTCTAATCGTCAAATTGATTTTACTGACTTTTTTATTAGCTAACCGTCTCTTGCTCTGAGATATTTTCTGCCTGTAGCATCCGTGAACAGCTCCCATCCAATACATACACCTGTTGATAGTTAAAAGTTATATAATTGGATTTTGTGGTACGTTTACATACATGACTTAAAACATTTTTTCAAATGTTAAAATTTTTGTTCCATCGAGTTAATCTGATTTTCCAATTTTCTCATGAACCCTAAAATGAGTCCCTTGAAGCTCTTTAGTTCAGTAAATTTTGACCCGCAAGATTTCTTTAGACGTCCCAAGTACTAGTTTTGAAAATTACGCTATCAAATTGGATATTGGCGGTATTGTCAAATTGATTGTCAAAAACAGATTTGGCAAGAAAAACACTGGCAGTGCTACTCTTAGAGCTGCGAAATGGTTCAGTCGTGGTCCCCATTAAAAAATTGAAAAATGTCTTAAATACTAACTTTTGTCTGGTACGACGATGTCTTTCCCCGAGGAAGATTTTTTCAACTCCCAATTGCAGCAGACTTCTGAAAAAAATGCCAAAAATTGACAAATTGTGAAATAAATATTGAAAAAAAAAAATTATCAAACCCAGACTAAAAATACCACAAAATTGACCAGCAACCAGGGTGAATGTATTCATCTTATGCTCCGAGCGTAAGGACCAAAGTTTGGTATCTGCTTGGACCAAAACAACGGATCGCCAACTTACGCGTTGTTAAACCCATATATCATCCAGATAATTCAATTTGAGTTGGCTATGCTTCCAGATTTAACCTCTCCCCTCCCCCCCCCCCCCCCCCACTCGAAACCTGGAAATTGTTTGCAATATTGATTCTCACCTTTAACGTCGTTCTCATTTTCTCCGAGCTTGAAATGAATTTTGCCGAAACCAGTCTCTTTTTTCCAAATAACCTCCAAGTCATCTTCTAATTCTAAAATGAATAAGGACAGTCGGCTGTTGTGCATTTAACATAGAATGTTCCGAACATATTTATTTACGAAAACAAAAAAAAATGTTTTTTTTTTTTTTTCGTTTCTTTTCTAAAGTTATTTTTCGCTACGAAAAACTAAGCTTTTTAGCCCAAAAGCCTAAATAAAAGTAAATTTTCACATAAGGATCGTTCCTCGATCTCTTTACTAGCTCGCAATTGAACTGGAAATAAAAATTTTAAGCGAATTTTTCTCGACCTTGGGACAACTTTTTGAAAACTTTGTAATGTCGTTCGAATCAAGACTGAAAGGGCTTTGGAATTTAGTAGATCACTCTACCCATCCCAATAGTTTTTTTGTGGTACCTAATTTTGCGAGTAAAAAAAAGAAAAAACACACTCGAATACAAAGTCCCTTTCCATTTTCAATCGTCAGAACAACAACAGTTAATTTCTTTTTATTGTTCAAAGTGTAGTGAAACACCTGTAACAGAAGAGCTGATGAAAAAAAAACCATATAGCCTGTCATACCTCTACGTATCAATGCAGGTACATATAATCCGAACGGATTGATACAAGAAATCTTTAACTTGAGCTTGGTACAAAAACTGTTCTTAAGAACCATTTATTGAACGTCTGGCTTATTGCTCATGTTTAACATTGGCTTAACGCCGTACAAGGTCAACCGACCAAACATGACATTAGATTATCATTAGTTCTAAACATAAATAACTATATATCAATAATGATAAGTTTATCCATTCGTACCGGATGACATTCCCTCTTCAACGGGAATATCAACAAACAGTTTTTGACTTTGAGTTTATAGTCCCTTAGGAACTCGCTGCATAAATTGTTTATTTCTCGTTCTTCTTCATTTCTTCGTTGTTGTTATTGCGGTCCTCTTGTTTTTCATGCTCCTCGTGTGCGGTATCGTCTTTGTTGTCACGGTCATTTTTTCAATTTTCTTTTGTTCCAGAAATAGGATCTCGTTCTTGTCAGGATTGTCAATTGATGAAGTAAGATCTCTAATTTCCTCTCTTTTTTCCTTTTGCTGCTCTTGTGTTTTTCCTGTCCTCTTGGGGTTAATTGCCTCGAGGAGTTTTAAACAAGCTTGGTGTTCTGGTGTTTTGTCCGAAAGACCCAATTCTTGTATTAGGGATTTCAAGCTTGGTTTAAAGGGCGATGTTGTTTCTTCTGGCGGCGAATCAATGCTAAATTTCATGAGATTCTTGTCGCTTTTTACCTTTTCAATCGTTTTGATCGAAATGGGGTCACCATTTGCTTTCGCTAGCGTTGATTGGCGGTGGCGCATTGATCGTCTTGTCGGTTGCAAGTTCGTTGATGTGGTTGCTGGTGGCGTTTTCTTTTGGTTCAGTCTTTTTGGCGATGGTGCCGAAGATCCTGATGTCGTCGACGAGTTCTCGCTTTCGGACTCACTTGACCCAGATTTGTCCTTCGACGTATTTCCTGGTGTGCTAGGTTTGTCTGTTTGTAGACTCATTGCGCGCGTTTTGTTATAGGGGCGTCCGCCCGTCCTTCGTCCTGTACGCTTGTCCCGTCTCTTGGTTGGGCTGACCTGGCCACTGTGTTGTCCCTGGCAACCTGGTGTTTGTTCTTTCCTTGTGAGTTTCTTCGGTAAGCCTGTTGTTGCATCCTCCTTGAACATTACTTGTTGAGGCGCATTGGGGTCTTCGATGTCTAAAAAACGTAGACAAGGTCCTGATCTCCTTGCGGATTTGTAGGCGACATAATCAGTTAATCGTGATGGTCGACAGGGCCCGTAGACTAAAGGGTTAGGAACAAATGCGACTCCGCTATTTGTTAATAGTCTGGGTTGCTTCCCAAAATGTTGTACCCAAGATGTGTGTGGTGTGTATGTCAAATTTTTTCCATCAAAAAGTTTGTATTTTTGTTCGAATGTTTTAGGATCCTACACCTTAGTAGCCACTCGGATTGTCTTTCTCGCTACCTGGTCTAACTGTTTTTTAGTGTTTTGTCAATTTTTTATTGTATCCCTTTATATCTACTGTTCTGCTTATCCCTAATTATTTCTATAGATTTTTTTAGATTGTGCACCTGGTGTTTTCTGTGTTGGTGGTTTACTTGTCCATTGTATGTCTGCTGGCATCTGCAAACGTCGATTGGCTGAAACTTCGTCCTCAGACCATCGTTGCAAGTCGTGCATAATTTCTGCTGGTAGAGGCGGCAATGTGAGGTACTTTTGATCTAAACATGCGTGTTCGGCTCTGTCCCAGTTGAGATTATTAGGTGAACTAGTTGAGATTAATAGGTGAACTAGGAGGAATATTCGGTTTTCTACCCATGTGTGCTCCAAAAAGTGAAAATTTTGTTACTCCGTGAGGTGTAATTCGTAAAGTTTTTACTATTTCAGCCACATCAGAAGCAAGTTTGTACGGTGTGTTTGACTTACCTATTCTCATTACCCCTAGCCGACATTTTTTATATCGTTCTCTCTACTACCCTTATTGCTTTGTGATCCTCTACTGGTGCGAACTTTAATTTTATGTTATTTGAAACTTTTTGGCACTAAATGTTTGAGCTTGATCACATCTTAGCCGTCGAGGTACCCCACTATTTGAGATATATCGTTGCATTCACTTTATGGCGACGTCCGCCGTTGTGTTTGTAGCTACTTTTGCTGTAGGAAATTTTGACCATTTGTTCGCAACTAAAATGTATGCATATTTATTTATTTCATCGGGAAGAGGCCCGGCAAAGTCTAAATGTACCTCCTCATTAGGTTCTACCACCGGTTCCATTTATTATAAGTGTTTCTTTCCTCTTATTGGTTTGAGGTTTTTACCTTGTTCTGTACAATGCTTGCCGCTTTGGGCCATTTGGACAATCGACCGATGTACGTGCGGGAACCATACATGTTGGCACAGGTCCAGCATGGCGGCCAATCCGTGGTGTGTTAGATGCAGACTGTCCAGAGTTGTTTGGCGTAGCTGCGTGGGAACGAAGATACGTGCATCTTTTAGCAGAGAATCCTCCCGAACGCGTAGACAATTCCTAATATTGTAACAATACTGGCCGTATGCTGACTCAATTGACTCCCAATCCCGTTTCTTGGCGAAATTTATGAATGGTCTGGGGTTCTTGTCTTTTCTAGTGGCGGCGGCAATAAATCAAACTCCGAGCACCTTCTGGAGTTTCTGGCAAAACAGTGGTGTGTCCTCCTCCGATTCATTCATTGTCGATTGACTGACTGTGGCAACGATCCCCTCAGTGATCAATTGGTGGCTTGCCTCGAGCTGTGTGTTGGTCATTGTGGAAGGTTCTTCATTTGGGACACATTCTTCCCGGCTGCAAATGTTTGGATTGACCGGGCTCACTCAGTCTCGCTTGACTCTTGTTGTGTGCTGTTTGTTTGAGTGCTCGCTAATGCTTTGTTTTCCTCTGTTTGATCGGCTTGAGTTGTTTTTATTTTGAGTACTGTTGATGGTTGTTTGTTTGCCGTGTCTCCGCTCAATACGATCTTCAGAAGAGTTTTTGTTGTTTGCGGTAACCTTGAGAAAGGCTATTCCCGGGCATCCTTGACGTTTTCGATGGATGTGGGGGTAGCAGTTGAAATTTGTTTCTTAGAAATTGCTTGTATTTATGCCAACGAGGATCGGATAAACTCTCTTCTCTATCGGAAAAACCCTGTCAGCTCAATGTTTTTCCTTCTTTTCTGCCTGGTGGCTCCAAGGTTTTCATGTCGTCTGTTATGAATCCGCCTTTGAGTCCTCTGACATCTGGTTTTCGGTTCATCTTCTCCGTTTGGTTGATGTTATTGACAGAATGTTTTAAATTTGATTTGAACGCCGAATTTTAGCTGACTGAAATTTTTGTTGAATGGGAGCTGACTGAGTTTTGGATTGTTTTGAGCGGAACTGATTTTGCTCGAGTGTTTGCAAATGACTGCTTCCCGAATTTGCGAAATGTTGGTTTTTCGATTGAGCGTTTGAAATGCTAATTTTTAGCCTTTTGTTTTCCGCGCGCTTTTTGATCGGCTCACACGGTGCCATATTTTGATTGGCTAGCTTAATGAGAATTACGTTGTCAATGATTTCGAGGTTGCTTATGAATGGAATAATTTTTCTCCGACGAATTTTTTATCGCACTCGCTTGGGGGTGTTCCCAATTCAGCTGGATTTCTTGACATGTAATCTATTAAGCCCATTTTATTCCCAGCCAAATGTTTGATATGGAAGTGGAATGGAATTAGTCAATCGATCCAGTGTGTTAATCTGCTTTGGCTAATTTTTGATCTTTCACTTGCGTTCAAAGCGTTGATCAGAGCTTTATGGTCTGTAATGATTGTTAAACGTTTTCCATAAAAATAGTTTTTAAAATGTTCAATGGCCTAAATTACCCTGAGTAACTCTAAATCATTAACTGAATTTTTTTCTTCAAGGGAATTTAAGAAACGTCACGCATAAGCTATCGCTACCCACCCTTCCGGTGAATGTTGTTCTAATGATGCTCCTAAACCTGATGCAGAATCATCACATACTACGCGCGAATCCAAGTGTTGGTCAAAGTGTTTGTTTTGTGTTATTTCGGAATTTAATTTAGGATGTTTTTAAACGATGTATTGTGTTCCTGTTTCCAATCAATTGGTTTAATTTTACTGCATTTTTAAACAAGGGCGTAATGAAGCTGCCGTCTGTGCTAAATAAAGAATGTATCTTGTTAGGTGATGCATGGAACCCATGAAGCTTTTGAGTTGTTTAAGAATTTTGGTGGGGATAGTTTTTCAATAGCCTCTGTTTTTCTAATGAGCGGTTTATTTCCTTCACTGTTAATGGCGTACCCTAACTACTCGACTTGCTTACACGCAGACTCACATGTGTCCAATGATACAGCGAGATTTTCCGCATCTAGTTTTTCCAAGACTGTTTGTAGTTTTTGTCGATGTAATTCAATTGATCCTTTCGTTACTATTAATATGTCATCCAGATACACGCGCAAATTACATTATTTTTGAGTTGATTTATCCAACAGGATTTGCAAATATGCATATCGCAAATCTAACGTTGAGAAGAGCGTTTGCTGTGACTGGTTTAATTTATAACACTTGTGCGATGTTGTCCCAAGTTAGCTCAGTATTCGGCATTTGGTATTTGTTCTTATGAATACATTTGTTTATTTTTTTTTTTAGAATCCAAAGCCAGTTTGACCGTTTGATCCTTTCTTACAGTTATCACAATCGGACTGATGGACTGTCGATCCGAACATTTATCCAACTTGATGTGTTTTTGATCTATGAGTTTGTTGAGTTCTTTTGCAACTCATCCTGTAGATGCACCGGGATGCGGTGTTCTTTTTGTTGAATCGGATTACGTCTTTGCTACATTGCGTTCGCATATCATTAATTTTGATTTTCCAATGCGTACACATATTTGCTGAAAACTATCCTTAACCCATTGTTTAATGTCGTTTTTGCTTTTCTTGTATTAATTTTATTCCGATCTATGGTAATAGGTTTCTATCTATTATTTTTGCTTTTTGATCATCCAGGATAATAAATGGGGCAGCCTGTATCTTCCAACCTCCTGATTCAATTGTTAGAATTAATCTTCCTTTACAACATGCTAGGTTTCTGGTGGTGTCTTCCGGTGGGATACGTTAGAACAATGCTAACTTGTCTTTATCTTGGAGAAGCCGCGCTGTTTTTTCGTTCAAGAACGACATTGGGCTTCCGGAGTCAGTAATAGCAAACAATTTTTCTGTCTTCGTTTTTAACTTCAAGATTCGTCCGCTGAGATCATCTTCTGAAAAATTGACCGTGTTTTTGAAACTGCCATAAATGCTTCTGAAACTGCCATTACTGAGAACAATTTGGTAGTCATCCCAGCCATCTCTGGATATGAATGCAAATGCCACTGGATCGTTATCCGTTTCCTAACTCTCAGTTTCGATTTCCTCCTGCTGTTCCTCATCATTGCGATCCCTCCTGTAGTTAACGTTTTCTTATCGACACATTTTGGCAAAATGACCCCGTTTGGCACATTTTGAGCAAAATTTGTCTTTTGTTGGGCATGATTGTAAGTGTTTTCGACCAAATTGGTTACCGCATTTGCAACATTGTTTCTGATTATTGAAGTTTGAGTAACATTGTTGGTTTCGTCCTCTCGTAATTTGTGTTCCACGTGGATATGGTCGACAGCGAAATCCGCCCCGACTTCCCTGTGAACCTTGGTTGTTAGCATAACTATTACGGCCACGCGTGTTAATATAGTATATTGGTTCCGATGTTGTCGTTGTTGGTTGATTTCCGAATGGATTTATTTTAATCGTGCGACTATGTTCAGTACCCTTTTCCCGGCGTATTGCGTATTCGTATGCATCTTGCGGTCTTCGTGTTTGAGCTGGTAGTTCTTCTGCAATTTTCTCGTTATGCATATGTGCGGTGAACATGTCTCTCACCCACTCATCTTCTCGATCTCCACAATCAGCCCTCGAAGCTAGGTCGACTTGGTCCGCATGGAATTGTTCAAGATTTTCTGTTTTATTCTGCTCCTACAAATGAAGTTGTACCTATCAAACGCTACGATTCTGTTTGTTACGAAAATATCTTCTAAACTTGTTATTAAATCGTTTGTGGTCTTAGTATATAAGTCAAGGCCTGGTCTTTTTTGCTGCACCTGTCGTTGCCCTCAGCGCCAAGACATAAAAAAATATAACTTCGGACTACTGCATTTGCCTCCTCCCACCAAAAAAAGTTACATAAAATTCCTTTCTCCCTAGCTTTAAGCACGTGGTTTTTCCAACCGACTCGTTTTTCTTGATTTCTGAATTCTCGGTTTTTCTTTTGCTCTTCCGTTTCCCCTGTTATTTCCAATTCGTAAATAGGTTCTGTAGGAGCAACTAGTGGTGGTTTAGTCCTTTGCAGTTTTCGTACTTCGATTCCGTCTTTCGCAAGTACCGCGATTTTGAATATTGCTGCCCATTTAGACCACACTAATGGTGGTTCGGCTGAAGCCTTCTCCCAAAAGGGATTAATATTCAGTGGGTTTTTCGAGAATCCTGCTGGTTGCGCCATGTCATATCTCTACGTATGAATGCATGTACATATAATCCGAACGGATCGATAAACGAAATCTTTAACTTGAGCTTGGTAAGTGTTTAACAATGGCTTAACGCCGTACAAGGTCAACTGACCAAACATGACATTAGATTATCATTAGTTCTAAACAATTATCTATATATCAATAATGATAAGTTTATCCATCCGTACTGGATTACATAGCCAACCACAATTAAATAATTAAAGAAAAGGTTACAACTCAGTCCTTATTTTTCGACTGTTGCTAGACTTTTTATTGGTTCAAATGTGTCTGTCATTCAGACCTTGTGTCACCGTTTAAATGTGGCGTTATATACTTGTATAGTGTCCGGATGTAGTCCTGAAGAATGTCTTCCCATTTGTGGGTTCTGTATACAAGAGGACATCCTCTCCCAGCTCTAAAATTATGACATCTTTATCCAGATAACTGTCACAGAATACAGTACCAGGGAGAAAATCCAAATTTTGACTATCTACCGGTAATAAAATTATTGTTTTTCAAGTTTTGCAAAATTAGATATACTATCAATGAGAAATCTAAGAGTAGTTGAATCCTTCGTTACCCTTTAGTCCGTCCATGGCCTGCACCATCACCTGAGTTTTCTCCGTGTTCAAGCTAGCATCAGACTCGGTTGGCAACTCTGAAACAAACTCTCATTGGTTTTCTTGACCAAGTTAACATCCCCTAAACGACTTGGTCCAGTTAGGATGTTAACTTGGCTCGGTCCATTTTTCTTGGTAATACAGGCCAAGAAGCTCATGCAGCGAAAATTAAATTGTATCGTTTTTTACCGCATGTTACGTACCTCAACAAAACCTCCAGTATAGAAAATTAAAAGCGACCGAAAGTATTTGTTGTTATTATTTTTTGCTCCAAAAATCAAGTGCTTTCTATGAGTCAATATGCTCCTATGAGTTTCTTAATGCTTCTCTGCAGAGAGTAAGCTTAACCAGGGCAGATATTTTTAACTATCCGTCTTCCCCAATTGTACCTTGTAACAAATTGCCACCCCTATGAAGAACTAATTCAACGGTCAAAACATGTGTGAATTTCGTACCGAGTAACGAATCTCCCCCTTTTGCAAAAGTGTGGAATGTGAAAAACATCCTTCAAGGCTAGCATACCCACATTTTAAATCCGATTTCACCTCCGATTATCCTTTCAAAACTGATTCGCTTACCATGAAATCTCCCGGATATAGTTCGCACATAGCTGGTAGATGTTTTGGCTTCGTAATAGACACTGCCGTCTGACGCAATAGCAGTACTCCTGCCCTTCGCCCCGCTGGATAAGAACACGTCACTGGTGTCAAGGTCAAATGAAAAGTCAGCATCACCAGCTCCTGAAAATGACAAATGTCCAGAAAAAATAGGACCACCAGCGGATTTAGGGGGGGTGGGGGGGGGGGGGGGCTGCGGACGGCCCCTCCTTTTTTCAGGGATTCTTCCCCCTGCCGACCCAAAGGGTCCCCTTTTGTACTCTTTTCAGATATCCATGTTTGGCTGGCTGACCCTAAAATTTGTCTAAAGGCGCCTTTGGCGCCAAAATATACTAAATTTGAGGGACGCGCGTGCCGAAAAAAAAACGCAATTTTTTGGTCAAAGATTTCCAAAAAAAAGAATAATTTGAGAGATATAAAAAACAATGGATTGCTAGATAACTGGCGTGCGCAGGAATTTTTTTTACTGGGAAGGGGGGTGTTGAAAAACTTTGTGGACCAATTTTTAGCCTAGCTAAAAAAAACTATATATCACAGATGAGTAATGATAGCGATAAAAATAATTGTTTTATTCTACCAATGGCGTGTGCAGCGAAGCTTTTGACAAGGTAGGCTTTAGAAAAGTTTATCAACCAGTTTTTGGACCAACTATGTTGAAATTTTGACCACTGCCGAACCTTAAAATGATCATAATCATAACCAACAAAAAAATTTTGAGATGCAAATGAAAAAAGCGTTTCTATTTTAGACCAAAAAAACTGCGTCTTTTCCGGTGTACACTTAAAGTTTGTGAACTATAGTGTCGAAACATTCTTTTTGGTCGGTGAAACACTTAATATACTCCCCTCCCAACTCAACTCAGTTCTACTTTTGGGCCGTATAACACAAACAATCAGATTTAAATTTTTTTGAACTTTCGATGCAGACTCATAAAAAGGGTTTCTGTTTTGACCTTTTATTTTGGCGTTTAGTTTGTTGGTAGAGGTGTTCAATCCCACTTCCCGACTGTTGGTCAGTTCTATCAAGTGGGCATTCTCCAACTGCAGCAACACTCGGAGACTCTTAGAGTCATAAATCAACTGGAAGTTCGCCGGCACTCCTGAAAACAGCAAGATTGGATTAGAACCAAAAATGAGCCAACCAAGGTAATCTAGTAAAATTGTAGAAAAAATGAGAATTTTTTTTTGAAAATAATCCAAATTATTTTCGATTTTCTTTGCGAACGTTTTTTCGTTTTTTGTTCTGAATTTGCTGTTTTTTATACAATGAAAGGGCAATTGATATAGGTCAAAAATTGCCAGAATGAGCAGTAAATAGAACTTAAAATAATCTCAAAACCCCAGTATAATTTAATTTTGAGTTCAGATTTATAAATTTTGCGCTTTTTACTTCGAGAAACAGAAAAATGTAGGCCACTCGAGTTTTTTTCTGAAATTACGACTAATATGGCTTTAGTATGATACTACACCTAACCCTAAATAGAATTCGTGGTGGTACATAAAACTGGGTGACTAAAAACATAGTCGCTTTCCGCGACTGGTCGAACCAGCAAAGTTGAAGTATCTGATGACTTTGATAGTCAAAACTTCCTTCTTCAATTTGAAAGGAGTTGTTTAAAAATTATGTTTTAAAAGCTCTCATCAACTTTAAGTAATCCACAGAACTGAGATAAATGAATATTCTTCCTGAGAGCTTAGAAAAAAACATTGAGTGACAAGAAGATTTGATTCTAACTGTTCATTCGTCCAGCTGGTTCTTTGAGGAGTATTTTGTTTAGCAGTGCATTCACCCACAGTTCACACTGTCCGTCCAGGGTGGCCTCAATGATGCGACCAGAAGCAGTGCGCAGGTAGATCTTGCCCGTGATGGGGTCTGTGAAAACACCCGCCTTCTGGGCTCCTAAAATAAACAGGTAAAAATAATTTTAATATAACATTTTTTTCAAGTCATTATCTCTTGTTTTTACGCAAAATAAGGAAAAATCACGTTCAATGGCTTCACAAAGAACAATATCGAGTCCTCTAGGACTAGGTTTTTCTCAAGATGGAGGGCCAGATTTTCAAAAAAAACTTTCAAAAATTTTGTTGATTTTTTTTTGACGACCAAACTGATTTTCCGAGTGCCCTCAGAAGACAATAAAGACCCTATTTTGAGAAACATTTCTGCTCCGCAGGCAAAATTTTGAAAAAGAAACAGGTCAAAAATGCAATTTTTGATAATTTTTTTGAAAAATTTTCGATCAAAAAAATTGCGTTTTTCCGGAGCGTGCTCCCCTTCAAAATTGTTATATGATAGCTCCCAAGGCGGCGTTAGAAATAGTGTAGGCTTAATAACTGAAATTGGATGACGTAATTGGCTGGCGAGAGTGTCGAATCCTTGTGGGGAGAATTTAGGGCTCAGGATTTTCTCGTTGGGGGGATCAAAGTCAGATTCTGGGGAGCAACTCGGTCCACGTTTTTTTTTGAGATTTTGCAGGTAAATTTAAATAAACCCTGTTTATCGGCATTTGATAAACCGCTGGCGTCGTCTAAATAGGAGCTTGTTTTGAGAGTTTAAGGAGTGCACACCTGGTTTGGAAGCGAGGTATCTCTTTCCTGTCTTGGGGTCTGTGTACATCATCATGTTCTCATCCACCTCACTCACAATCCGGCCACTCTTAGTCCTCAAGTAAGTCTTCCCTGTATCCGGGTCAGTCCACATCTCAAGTACCTGGCCTAAAAATGATATCACATATGAGTTAATTTATAAGTTGACAGGTACCGTCTGCCTGCTATTCTCTATTCTTAAATGACCTTCGGATACTTTTTTGAATTAGATAATAAGTGAATTTAAGTTACCTTTCAAGTCTTTTCATTTTTAGTTTTAACGCTCAAAGTTATAGCAATAATTTTTAATTTTTTTTATCTTTCAACCTGTAGTATATTACTACTTTAACAGAAGAGTAATGGAATGGGTAACAGTTTGTATTCTTGATCTGTTCTTTTCCTGGTGTCACTACGGAATTTGATTGTCCTACTTTGGGACAGGTTAGAACACTCACTTCATTGGTCCATCAGACCTTTCAATTGCTATAATGCGTTTTTCTATGTTAACCGCTTTGGTTATTCGGACTCGCCTTGATTCCAAAATCTTGAAGCTGACTTGAATCTTTCTACGATATGATCAAATCACTAACGTCACCCTCAGTAAGTAATCTAAACTGATTCGGCGGACAGGTGCAAAAAGGTTCCACAAGGATGACAGAACCCTCCTTTGTACTTTGATTGTGTAACTTACCGTCTGCAGTTCTGACGTATGTGATGCCAGTGTCCGGGTCAGTCCACATCTCCATGCCAGGATTCCTCCTCTCTCCCAGGTACATCTTGCCAGTGATGGGGTCCACGTACATCTCCAAGTGGTCTCCGATCTCTGAACAAATCAGGAGTTAAATTAAATATTGTTTCATGATTTTTTCTCTTGAAAAATTTCGCCTTAAAAAACTCAATAAATACTAGATTGAAAGATTCATTTTTTATCTTGTCAGAGGTAGTGAGAAGAATACAACATGTAACAAGATCATCTAAAATTACCAATTGTCAGCAATAGACATGATTTATGGCGAAGAGTCAGCCGCTAATTGTTAAAAAATAAACATTTTAAGGGTAATTTTAAGGGTTTTAAGTACCATTTTAGTAGAAATCGAATCGCACCAAAAAAGGACTAAAAGGAGCATAGAAGACGCCCATGATTCGAAAAAGAAGTCAATATAGTCGACATGATTTTAACCTTTGAGGTTTCCGGATTTGGTCCTGAAATATGTCTTGCCATCCTCTCCAACTATGACCTCGAGGACCTCCCCGTCCTTAGTGCGCATATACATCTTCCCAGTCACTGGGTCCGTGAAAATCTCCAGGCCAGGATCTACAAGCAAAAAGAAACAATCTGATCAAATATATTCTAGAAGATTCTAGAAGCTTATGTTTTTCAAATTAAAAAAAAATAACATCGAAAAAAGTCACAGAATAAAATGAAGGCACATTAAACAATTAGGTTTAAAAGACTCCTTCAGAATTTAAAATGGATATCAGACCTTTAGTTTGCCGAATGTAACTTTTCCCTGTGATTGGATCAACGTACAACTCCATGTCAGCTGGCAACTCTGAAAAGATAAAAAAGTTTGTTTATTGAATATTTTTCATTTAAGAAACGCATTCGAGTAAATCAATTAAGCTGACCTTTCAATCTGCCAGATTTGGTTCTGAAGTAGGTTTTTCCAGTCTCGGGGTCTACGTAGACCTGTTAAATATGCCGATGCAACTAATTGAATTGGATCCTTGTATGGGTGATTTTTGCAAATGTCCTTTTGGACTTTGATGCAAATTTCAGCTAAGACCAAATTTGGAAAATTTTAAGTCGATTCTTTACTTTTTTCCAGAAAAAAAGATGAGGTGAAGCAATAAACAACCCAAGAGTTGCCCGTTGGTTTCCGACATCATTAATGCAAAAAGACTTAGTAAAATATTTTTTCATTTCAAAATTGAATGCTTTTTTTGGAGGCGTGGTGTGATCAGAGAAAAGATATGATAATTTAGAATATTACAAAATTATGCGTAGTATACAAAAATTGCATTCAAAAAAGGACACTACGAGGCCAAATGAGATTTGTGTGTCTTGTAAGTGAATTCTGTGCTTTGTAAGTGGATTCCGCAACAGGTCAAAATCAGATTTGTCTCGGATTCCACAACAATGTTACTTTTCTTCAATCTTCTTTGCTGTTTTGACTTTCACGAACAAAACTTAAAACACTGTACTGCTCAAAATCATTCGCACAATAAGCAAATTTGAGGAATCCGCAACAGTATTTGCGGAATCTGGAACAATTTATGGAATCCACAAACAAATAAAAAGACATGGGTATAGTTAAATTGGGCTGTAGCGGAATCCGCAAATTTTATGCAGAATCCGCAAACTGTAAGTGGAATCCGCATTTTGTTTGCTGATTCCATTACATATATGTATAAATATAGCAGCGTTTTAAATTTTATCATTTATTATTTTTTAATCAAGCAACTTCAATCTCAATTACTGAGTTCATCAGCAACAAGTTAAAATACTAGTAGTTTGATCTCAACTCCTGTTAAACACCCAGATTTGATCTCAATTCCTTGCCGGAGAGCCTAAAGGCTAGTCTGATCCGATAGAGAGACCATATGTTCCTTGACACCATCCAGATAACAGCTACCTCCAAACTCAGTTTGGATACAGAGAAAACAAAAAATAAAATGTCTTACCGCTAGCCAAAAACATACTTGAACACTCAACAATCAAGAAAAGTTACACTTTTTTCCAAGCAAAAGAGCAAAATTATCAGTACGAAAATCAAATGGCCCTTGAATTAGTCCATTGGCAATTCCACTCACCCTTCAAGCTTGACCCAAGACCCAAAACGTAAAAATTACGTTTCAAACGGAACGACCATCATATCAAAACACAGACAAGCTCATGCGTAAACTTTATAATGTCTGAGTAGTAAACACGTCTAGGGAACATATAAAATTTAAATTTTTATTGGACAAGGAGTCTAAATGTCTCAAGGAGTGAGTTGATTCATGAAAAAAAAATCAAACTTTTTGGACAATGGGTCTAAATTTTTCAAGGAGTGAGTTGATTAAGGAAAAAAAGGTTAAAATTGTCAATTATGAGTTTTTACGCTACCTCCGAAATTAAATTAGGTTTTAATGAAAAAATAGGGTGTTTGACAGCAAAAACGTAATTTTCTTATCACAGATTTAACGAGTTTGCTCATTAAAACAACCTGGCAAAATAGGATCCCTCTATCATACCTGTACCGACACTTGTACCGGTCAGTCTAATTTCTCCATTTTCAGAGATTTTTCTGAAATCATCCGTTTCAATACTGCCTAATTTCGCGTTCGCATAATTTCACCGCATCTGGTAGCTAAATCATTGATTAAAATGGTTAGTTTTTATAAGCCGGTTTGAAAAGTGACTGAATCAATCTTACTGGATATTTCGTTCGCTCAGTAATGCTTGCGTTTTTCAGACTGGGTGGCCAAAAAGTTGAGGCTTTAGATTGCTAATTGATTACAATTTCTCTGCGTGGATTCCATTCCAATCTCCGTGGAAATGGTTTTCAGTGAGTACAATATATTTTTTGATTTCTCCAACCGTAATTTTTCCCAATTATACATTTAAAAAGGGTATTCTTGTTATAAATTGTCCTCTCTACAAAAATGGGTACAAGTATGATGGGGTGGTGCTTTTAAAATACCCAGATCCCTTCAGAGTAAGACAATTAGAGCTCAACGAACATTTAATAATTATGAGTGGCCCATTCAGAAAGATGTCGTATGAAAAAATTTAAACTAATTTTTTTATTCATGTTTCTAAACCTCCCAAACAACCGTTATTTAAGATGGATAATTAAAAAAACCGCCAAAATTGAATTTTAATGACAAATAGGTTAAACCAATTATCATTGTTAAATCGTAAATTAGGTTGAATTGAGCGTTTTTTTATATAAACAATAGAACTGTTACAATTTTAAGATGAAAAAATTCTGACTCAAAAAATTTCGCGCAATTTTTGCAATAAAAAATTTATACACAAATTAATTTTCAAAATTTTACATACTTTACGCATGAGGGACCTGTCTATTACAGTTGCTTTTTCGAGAGACTTATACTAGTACCAAGTGTGTTCATCTTAAATACTGCCCTCATGTTTTGATTTCAATTTAGTTTCATCGCAAAAAACAGCCCTCTTGATTTGAATTTGCTCTATGATCTCACTCAAAACACTTCCATCATTGTTTGAATTCACTGTCCACCAACTAGATCAGTTTTTGGGATTGATGCAATCGCGAATACTGACGTAATTCGGCAATATGCTGTGCGTTGTGTCTCCAATTACTCTGAACCCATTGACTCCAAATAATGAATTTTTTTTTGTTGTGCTTCCAAAACTATGATCCCGAAAATTGCTTACTGGGATAAGTAACCCAATTACTATACGTTGACATCCACCAATTTAGTCAAGCATTGTAATAAGGTTTGTTCGTGGGTTCCGCTGACAACGGTTAAGTCCTTGCTCTTAAAATCCGCAATGCTATCGGTAACAGTTCCAGCTGTAGCGTTTAATTGTTTTTATGCAAGTTCAGTAAGCAACTAAATCTGAAATTTACTTACAGTTTGCGGAATCCGCTTATACTTGCAGATTCCACTTACATTTTTGCAGATTCCACTTACAATTGCGGAATCCACTAACATTTGCGGATTCAATTTAGATTATGCGGAACCCTCTTACATTTGCGGACTCTAGAACAACTAGCTATATTCACTTGTTGCTGAATCCGCGACACAAAAATTGCGCCGACAAATTTTACGTTCCAGGTTTTTGTACGCGGAATCCACGGAAATTTTGTAACTTGAATCCATTTAGATTTAGGAACATTTCTACAAATTTGTCTCTGGAATCCAGAAACTTGCAGACACAAAATTATGCGCCTATCCAGTGCACAGTTTGGCCTCGTAATGGAGTAACAAAAAAAATTCTGAATTTTTTCAAATTAATTTTAATGCCAAGTAAAATTTATTTGAAAAAGAACCAGAGACGTAACAAAGAAATTCAATTTTCTTAAATCGAGTTTTTACACATGCGAAGCTATGCATCGCAAATACTTGCGAGAACACGACCAAAAATCATCTCTATCAAGTGACATAGGAAAAAGTAGAAATACGCCTGGAAATTTTAAATTATGCGCCTATCCAGTGCACAGTTTGGCCTCGTAATGGAGTAACAATAAAAATTCTGAATTTTTTCAAATAAATTTTAATGCCAAGTAAGCGCTAAATGAAGCGAAGAAAACAGTTTCGACTAAACTAAGTAAAACTTAGTTTACACGGCTTGAACAAAAAACGTTCTCAATTAAAACACCTACTCGCCCGCTCGACGTTAGGGCAAAAAAGCAAAAAATTCAAACCAGTTTTATTGACCCCAAAGGAATTCAAATCACGAGCTGTTACCTGATTTTGCTGTGGAAAAAAAACTTCAAATAAAATCGAAGACGAAGTTCATCTCCGCTTTCATTGGTCGTAACGATGAGTCTTTCTACATACCTCCATAATCTGTCCGTCTCTGGTTCTGATGTATGTCTTCCCGGTTACTGGATCAGTAAACATCTCAAACGCGTCACCGCCACCAATCGCATAGCCTAAAGCAAAAAACAATAGGTTTAGTTTGAAAGCAAGTGGTTCATCAGGATTTCTTTTTTATGCGCTTTTTTGGCGCACCATCATCTCAGAATTAGTTGATGCCCACATGGGCAATCTCTTCACCTCTCCACGCAAAATAAAAAAAGTCAGCCATCTCCTCTTCAAAACTATCTTCACCCCAAAATAGTTCGATCATTGCAATTTAGAATAATTTTAATTTTTTTTTGGCAGAAAATAATTTAAAAGTATTGTAATGACGCCTTTGTGAGACGAACGTTTCGGATTCTTGAGTGGTGGGGATGTCGTTTACTCTCGTTAAATCTGCAAATGCATTCCAAACACTGTTTTTTTTTTGTCAGCAGACCTGTGTGTACAAGTAAAATGCTATATTCCACTCAAAGTACAATTACTCTAAAATCGAAACTGCTTCATTAAGTGGATTCAAAGTAAAAGCAGGTTTGTTTGACCTGCAGCTGGATTTGCTCCCATGTATGTCTTGCCAGTCACTGGATCCGTGAACATCTGCATGTCATCAGGCAGAGCTGAAACAGAAAACGCGCGTTGAAAGAATTTGAGTTTCTCTGAAAAAAAACTTGAATTTATCTCGAAATGGAAACTAATTATATAAAAGTAACAATAATAAAGTGAAGATCAATTTTTTCCGCATGTTTATTTCTTCTTCTGATATCTTCTATTGACCACCGTGTATCTGCAAATCTAAATCGATTTAATTTTAAAAAGCGAGGCTAATCATTTCATCAAATTTATGTAGTTTTTAAGCCTACGGAAAGTCTGTATCACCGAAAACACATAACACCAAAAATACTTATTCGAAAAAAAAAACAAGCAAAGGTGGCGTTTAGCCGTAAGACCGCAAATTGTCATAAGCCTTGTGAGTTGGATTGGTTCTTTTCTTTTATAAAATTTCTACTGTGATGTAGACTACTGTTCTGCATACAATACTTTTTTTTTACTAAGCTAGCGAATGGGTAATATTGAGAAAGAGCCATGTGTTATATGTGTATACCTCTGAGGTTCCCAGACTCAGTTCTGACGTAATACTTCCCATCTTCCCCCATCACCAACTCCAGCAACTCCCCATCTGCAGTCCTCAAGTACTGCTTCCCCGTCAGGGGGTCCGTGTAGATCTCCATAGGGGGAGGAGCTAAAAAGAAGATGAGGCGTCGAGAAGAAGTCGTTGGTTGTTGAAATTAACACCTGGTTTTGAAACATCACCTCAAAAACATTTAGGATCATTTTTGGAGCAAATTTTTCAAGTCTCTCAAATTGAGCACCGACATGTTTTTTTGAAAAGTATAAATGTAAAGTATAAATAAAGTATAAAGTATAAATAAAGTATAAAGTGTAAAAGTATAAAAAAACTGCATAAAAGCAAGTCGAAATAACTTTTTTGGTACATTTTTTAGGAAAAAATAATTGTGCACTCTGTAGCTTAGAGCTTCAGGAAAGTACCGTATGCTGTACGGCAAAAACAAATTTCGTCAAATTTCGTAACAAGCGACAATTCATAGCATTTGTTTTGTAACGTTTCCAAGCTCTGATTTTCAAGTTGAAAACATTTAAGGAAAAGAACTATCTCACGTGGAGGTGGTTGTCCGAGGAATATCTTCCCAGTAACTGGGTCTGTGTAGACTTGGAGGTCATCGGGTAGCTCCACCCAGTTGCCAGAAGCAGTTCGCATAAACAACTTCCCAGTCTTTTCGTCACGCATTATCTGAAGGAGAAAGTTATGAAAATTTTTTTTTCTTTTTGAGTTTTATTTTTTTTAAACATTGTTTCGAAGTAGGCTAGCAATCATTTAAGGCCTATGAAATTTTTTCCTGCATTTTTAAGCACGTCAAAGAAATCGTTATTTGTAGAGTCTGGCATTGCAGCAGTCTTAATTGTGATTTGGAATCCAAGAAAAAATCTTTGAAAAAGTTCTGTCAGTGTCGAGAAAAACTGGTCTACCAACATTTGTGCTATCAGAACGTTTTAATGATAAATTGAGTCACTAAAATATTGTCCTCCTGATCTGATATTAACATTTTTTACTTCAATTTTTTTATTTAATTTTGAAGCTTCTTTTATTGCAACCCTCTTATTCAAAAAATTTTCCGTCATTTTATTTTCCCGCTGATTACTGTGGTTGCAACATTCTGATCGAAGCTTTTTGCAAAGTTTTCACGTTCACCATCATAAACAACTTTTTTTCACGTTTACCATCATAAACTGACCTCAAGTTTCTGTCCATCCTTAGTTCTGATGTACATTTTGCCAGTGAGAGGGTCCACGAATATTTCCACGCCAGGATCTAAATATGCCATTTTTCAAAATCCCACTACGTAATGTAGACATTTTGTGTTCCCCTCCCCCAAGGGGGGAGGGGGGAGGGATGGTTAATCACAAAGCCCCAACACCCAAATCAACAGCTCTTTGTAATAAACAGTGAGGGATTATGATTGATGAAAATTTGGTCAAAAATATTCGACGTGCATGTGATTCTGATGTATACGTGTACCTCTTTTCTCGGCCAAGTATAGTTTCCCTGTGATGGGATCCGTGATGAGGTCCAGGTTCTCTGGCACGGGGATCAGGGTGCCAGACTGGGTCCGGAACATCCACTTGCCAGTCTTCGGGTCTTTAAACAGTTCCATCTTTTCACCTAGACAATCAAATGGGATTATGTGTATGGATGAGGTAAGGAGAAACAAAAACAATGGTATATGATAAATGGAGCATTCATCATTTACCAATTTCCCTTAAGTTTTATGAAATTTTTATGATTGCTCTTGCTATTAACTATAGATTTGCAACCAATTTTTTTTTGCAAAATTCAAGCCTTGTAATGATGATTTTCACAGGAAAATTCTTTTCTGGTCTGCATGATCGAAAGAAAAAAATTACCTGGACACGCGACGTTATAACTATATAACTAACTAAGTGAGAACTAAGACAGTACCTAATTAATTGAACCCCTCCTAGTTTATCCAATTTGTCCTACATCTATTTGCATTAGCAGACAATATAAGACATCTCGAAAGTTTCTACATTCCAAGTAGCGACACTACTCTCGTCTAATTGTTGTTTTCGAATGCTACTCAGTTTAAAGAATTGTGGACCTGAATCTGTGATGACCCACATTCTGCCGTCTGCATCCACTATGACTTCCAGTTTTGGCAATGGCTTCCGCTTCCTCCTCGTCTTAACCTCCCCCGTCAGTGGGTCAATATACGTCTCGAATTCCTCATCTACAATCAGATGAATCTGGTTGTAGCGTTTTCAGGACTTTTTTGATTATGGGAAGCGTTTTTTAAAATTATGCTGAATGCCATGATTTGTTATATGGTAGGTTATAGAGCTTAGAACCTTATTCGCTTTTTTGTTGTCATATATCGTTGCTCAAGACTAAGGAATATAGGCTAATGTTATTGAGGAATATAGGCCGATAAAAAAAGTGGCGATATTTCAGTGGCATGATTCATCGGAACAAAACTTAATGCTAGCATTGCAACGTTCGCTTCTCTCAAAATGACTTCAATATTTAGAAAATAAAAACGTAATTAAAAAAGCCAAAATGTTTCTGATTCAAATTTCAGAATTTTTTAGAAACTGCGCGATTGAGCATTTGAAGCATTACATTCGTAATTCGAAACAATAAAATTTTTGTTCTTAAACTTTAAGTAAATTTTTTTGCATATTTTTTGAAGCTGTTTGCAATCAGAATGCTTTTATCTTACTGTCTCCGAGTAGATCTGCGAGTTGGGCTCCAAATAGACGTGCAGCTAGCCGAATGTCCATCTGGAGAGAGTCTCCATAGAGATGCGAGAGTACAGCAGCTGCGATGAGAGCCACACGTCGATAGAGACCCTTCTTTGCTAAAAATACACAAACATCAGAAATTAGTCTTCGAATGCTCACTTCAAAAAGTTGTCAAAAATGAATCAACGGCAATGACAATCGAGCTGAATGGAATGGTGCGTTCGCAAATTTTAAACAGATATTGAAAAAATCCATCCAAATTAAGCCATGAGATTTTCTGTTTCTAAAAATTCTTGTTTCTTTATATCTTAGATACAGTTTTTTATACAAAAGCTGTTTTTATTTATACAGTTTTTCTACTTGAATCGTGGATTTTTTTCCTAGCAGTAACAATAGCACTAGAAAGTTTCAGATCTGAGAATCAATTTATGTAAGAAATGAAGAATTTCAGATCTTGTACAGAAAATCCGCTGGGTACGGGTACATAACAAGGTAGAAAAGTGTCGAAATGGATTGTAATTCCGCCTGACCTCTGAGTTTTTTGAGGAGTCCCTTTGTGAGCAATGCACTGTACAGAAACATCATGTTCTCAATCACTGAAACGACAACCGAAGTTGATTAGTAATTTTTAAAATACTTCTTCAAACCTTTTCATTATTCAAAACTCGGTTTCTTCTTGTGCCAAAGCATAACCTAAATAATTTTTGAAGTTTTTATTCGAATCTTCGATTTTTTCTTTTAAAAAAAGGTTGTGACTATATTATTCTTAATCAGCTAATAAAGAGAGACAAATTCAGGTAAACATTAAGAAAGAGATAATGCTTTGGAGAAAATAATAAGGACGAAATATTCTTAAAACTGAGTAGAAAACCCAGACGCCAATTTGAAAAAAATATTAGCAAACCGGTAAAAAAAACAAAAGAAAAATACAGATATGGCCAGTGTTAATCCATTCGTTGTGAGATTGCATATATGTCCTGAACTGCAACTAAAATGTTCAGACCTGGATGATACAGATATGCCCAGTGTTTATTGATTAATTTTAATTACTTACTGCTTATTACTAAACTTTGTTGTTAAACTTCCCTGAATTAGCAATGAAGTTTTTTTGAAATTGTTGAATTGATTTTCAAGTTTTGTTACGTGTCTTGTTTTCGGTAAAATAGCCTTTTTAACTAAAAACAAGCCAAACACTGAAACTCGTTAAAAATCACGCCATTTTTCCGTTTTTGATTAAGTACATTTAGAAATAAATTTGATTGTTTTGACCATCTTTGACATTAGTCTCAGACTATTTGAAATTATCAATTTTCTTTATTCATTTAGGGGTTAGAAGTTCAAACTACTCGTACCCTACAAAAACATGGAAATCAGATCTGACTTTCTGAAACTCTTGCCTATTTCATATCTTGTGCAGACATGGTCTTTGTTTCGTTTGAACATGGACATGTCTGAATCAGGACTGATGCAGGTATGGATTTAATCATAAATGCAGACCTGCTCAAGGCCAGATTCAGACCTGGAACAAATATGTATGTGATAAAAAATAGGAAAAATTTTAAGATGCCCAGATCTAATTTCCAATTTTTTTATAATGTACGGGAAAGCAGAAAAGAAAGAGTTAGTATGGCTGTGCCCTTGTTGCTTACATCTCTCTTTCATCTCGAGTTCGTGGCCCACATTCATCACGTCTCCGTCGGGCATCATGACGAATGCCCCCTTCTCACCCTTCACATCTGCAAACAGAAGACAAATTAGAGCAAACAATCTGAAGTATTCATGGTCAAAGACGGATTTAGGAACATTTTTTTTTCATGGTTTTGAGCGCTGACTACTCAAAGTGACCCCTTTTTGGTACTTATGATGGCATTTATTGTAAGTTCCCAAATCATACAAGAAATTTAAACGCTCATTTGATGCCAAATTATAATAACTTCAAAGGATGACCAAATATTGAGAAAAAGCATCGGGTTTTAACCGAAGATTTTAAAAAATGCTCATTAAAAAATGCTTTTATGAATAGGGTCGAGATTTGATTATAACGCATTTTTATTGGGAATTCAATTTTGAATTAGTTTTCGTGACTGAAGGTGCAAGCTGAACAAATGGTTAAATTGGTTATCAAGAGCCTGCCGATCCAAATACTGCAGTTCGAGACTATTCTGTGAAATTCCTTGTTTTCTTATTATCAAATTTTCGACAAAATAGTTTCAATTTTTCAAAATAAACTTTTTTCGAAACTTGGGTTAAAGTTTTTGCATTTTACCATAGGAGTCCATAGCTCGCACATAGCAGAAACTAAATTCATGGTTCTGAAAATTGCGCCGCCACAATTTGTTTTAGAAATGCTTTTGCTACTCTGTAAAAGTTTTCCATTATAAAAATCAGCTGCAATTGTCTTTCAGAAAAATTTTGTGCGAAGAAAAATAAAATGATCTTTTCTCATAAAAATTAAGTGTACCGTCGAATATGTTCTGTTTGGTGGGTCCCTTCTGCTCTGTCTTGTACATGGCCTTGGCAGCCAGTGACTTGGGGGCCTTGAGTCCCTTCACCACCCGTCTAGTGGAGGCAGCAGGCGCACCTGCCCTTGCCCCTCCTTGGCTATTCTGAGCAGCAGCTGCGGCAGCAGTCGCTTGTGCCGCCTGGGTGACTGAAACATTTAAAATACCGTCGAAATTAAATTTAAAATAACGCCGAAATATATGAAAATATTCCAGGAAATAAAAAAAAGAACTGAGAAGATTCTAATCTGTTTTTTTTTAATAGAACCATTTGTATCAGTCTATTTTCTCAAATACTGATAAAAAGTATAAGAGGTACAAGCATAGAAGCTCACTGACTTTAAGTTTTCCAAAACTTGAATTATAAAGTGGTCGAAATGTTTTTTTTTCAAAAAATGAGATTGAAAACGCATTTGAGTTATAGTCCTTTTAATTCAATAAATCATAAATTGAGAAAAAAAACACTTACAAAACATAATTAAAGTGAATCAAATTTACAGATTATATCTGTTTTCTAGTTAATTCACAATGCAAAGCTAAAGCATTGATACAAAAATACAGAAGCAATTATATACATTTTATGCGTGCAAAACAAAATGCTTCGTTCAAATGAGCTCTTAAAGCAAAAAAGTACAGAAAAAGAAGATACGTAACAATCAATCAAACTCATTTATTTATATTTGAAGCACAAAATTAGGCCTGTTCCCGTTAATAATCTGCATCGACGACCGCCTTTTCCAAATGATAGTTTTAGGGTATACAGACAAAAAAATCAAACATCATTTATTCCCAATAAAATACTGCTAAAATTGAAAGGAGTGCTCGAAAAAAAAACACCAAAGTTATCTTTGGTGTGTCTTTTCGGATGTTTTTTTCTTGCAAAGTTACAGAATTAATTTTGATCAATGAGTTGTTTTTATTAGTTTCTCCGAAATGTTTAAAAATAGTTGAGGCTGAGAACGATTAATTTGACAAAAAGCGCACAACTGACGCCATTTTCTTCGATAACCCCTGTGACAGCAACGTAGCTTCATAATAACCATATTTTTCAGCTTACGTTTGTTTGAAAGTTCCTGTTTTTTGGCCTAGAACAACTCAGAACCCACGTTTTAATGGGGATATCTGGATAAGTAATTAAACTTGCAGCTATCACAATCCTGAAGGCCACCGCCTTAAGCGAAAAAAGTTGAAAATTCCGAAAGCTGATGGTTTAGTGTGAAATGTATGCATCATTTTAACTCATAGCAAAACGACCATGAGATCCTCGGATCCTTCTTTTTACGACTATCTGGTCAACTAACCTAGTGCTGCTGGTCGATTCCGGTAAAAAAAGTCGTACGGGAATAAAATATTGAAAAACTGCAATTTAATGATATTCAAAAAGAAATATATATCCGTACAGGAGAGTATATAGAAGAAAACTTAAAGTAAACTTTACTACAGGAGAAAAGTTTTGTCATCACCTCCATCCTTTCAAGACGGTTGTGACAGAGTTTGACATTTCGTCAAAATTCTTTCTCTGGCCAAAAATCTTCCAAATTCAACACTAACATTGTCGGTTCAAAAAGAAAACTCTTTGCAAAACTGTACTTCAAAAACCAGAGTAGAAGAACCTTTGTTGACTCAAAGAAAATAAACAGATATAGAGAAGATTCTTGCAAATCATGTCCTGCTGGATTTGTGAAAATGCGAGCAAAAAGGGAGTTTTGCAAAACTCTATAACTTGGGAAAATGTCGAAAAAATTAATGAAGAATTTGAACTACTATTTCAAAAGATTGCAGAATTTTCTTTTCAGATAGTGAAACTGAAATTTCACTGTGAAGCTTATCGAGAATGGAACAAAAAGACTAGCTCTAAAACTGTCTAAACTCCGATCGCATTCAACCAATTCTATAAAAAAATGGAAGTTATTAATAAGAACTCACACCTGCACAGATTACAATTAGGCTCAACATGTTTTTCTATAAAACTACGTTTACAATGTTGTCTAGCTTCAATTCTGAACAAAAGTACTACTGAGATTCTTTCGAATTCCGGTAAACGCCATTTCCATTGGGAGTCCCTATGGCTCTGCCTAATAACCATTCTGTGCATCTTATTATTATAAGTTTGAACTAGCTCCTCGAAAACAATTCAAATATCATGCACTTGACATTTTGTTGAAATGAATGTGAAGTGAAATTACGCACTTATTTTAATAGTCGAAAGATATCAGTTGCAATATTCTTTGAGCTTAGGTACCTGAGCTTATCTCAATCAGAAAATAAACAACAAATTACTTTAAATTCAATCGTGGTTTAATTTTATATATAGTTCAATAGTACAATATCATTTCGAATGGCGTAGCCAACAATTCTGAGGCACAGTTTTTGTTCAAAACTTATAAAATTTCTGCTTTTTGGCTTAGACCAATTCCAGACCCACGTTTTAATGGTGATACCTCTATACGTCAATCAACGTTTTAGCTATCACAATTAAGGTCAATTGTGACCCGAACAAATCCATTTCCCAGATCGAACCGAGGCTTTTCAAGGCCACCACCCGAAGCAAAAAAAAATGAAAAATGGGGAAGCTGATGGTTTATTGTCAAATGTATGTATCAGTGTAACTCATAACAAAACGACTGTGAAGTCCTCCAAGCACTCTTTTTACGGATGTCTGGTCAACTAACCTAGTATTGCTGTCGATTCCGGTTTCCGGTTTAAAAAAGTCGTACTGTAGTAAAATATTGAAAAACTTAGTGCAATTTAGTGATGCTCAACAACTATGTATCCGTACAGGAGAGTATACAGAAGGAAATTTAAAGTCAGCTATACCACAAGAGAGAAGCTATGCCCCACTTCCACCATTTAGAGACGGTGAGGGCAGTGTTTGTCATTTAATCAAATTTCTTTCTCAGTTCAAAAGTCTTTCAAATTTATAAGTAACATTGTCGTTTCAAACAGAAAACACTTTGCAAAACCATACCTCAAAATCAGAGTAGCAGAAGCTTTGATGACTTGAAGAAAAGAAACATATATAAAGGAGTTCTATACCATATAATTTCTGTGATAGAAGCTACTCAACTAATCATCGCCAATCATGTCCTGCTAAATTTGCGAAAGAGAGAGGAAAAAGGGCGTTTTTGCAAATCTCAATAGTTTGGAAAAACGTTGAAAAGGTTGATGAAAAATTTGAATTACTATTTCAAAAGATTGCAGAATTTTCTTTTCAGATAGTGAAACTGAAATTTCACTGTGAAGCTTATCGAGAATGGAACAAAAAGACTAGCTCTAAAACTGTCTAAACTCCGATCGCATTCAACCAATTCTATAAAAAAATGGAAGTTATTAATAAGAACTCACACCTGCACAGATTACAATTAGGCTCAACATGTTTTTCTATAAAACTACGTTTACAATGTTGTCTAGCTTCAATTCTGAACAAAAGTACTACTGAGATTCTTTCGAATTCCGGTAAACGCCATTTCCATTGGGAGTCCCTATGGCTCTGCCTAATAACCATTCTGTGCATCTTATTATTATAAGTTTGAACTAGCTCCTCGAAAACAATTCAAATATCATGCACTTGACATTTTGTTGAAATGAATGTGAAGTGAAATTACGCACTTATTTTAATAGTCGAAAGATATCAGTTGCAATATTCTTTGAGCTTAGGTACCTGAGCTTATCTCAGTCAGAAAATAAACAACAAATTACTTTAAATTCAATCGTGGTTTAATTTTATATATAGTTCAATAGTACAATATCATTTCGAATGGCGTAGCCAACAATTCTGAGGCACAGTTTTTGTTCAAAACTTATAAAATTTCTGCTTTTTGGCTTAGACCAATTCCAGACCCACGTTTTAATGGTGATACCTCTATACGTCAATCAACGTTTTAGCTATCACAATTAAGGTCAATTGTGACCCGAACAAATCCATTTCCCAGATCGAACCGAGGCTTTTCAAGGCCACCACCCGAAGCAAAAAAAAATGAAAAATGGGGAAGCTGATGGTTTATTGTCAAATGTATGTATCAGTGTAACTCATAACAAAACGACTGTGAAGTCCTCCAAGCACTCTTTTTACGGATGTCTGGTCAACTAACCTAGTATTGCTGTCGATTCCGGTTTCCGGTTTAAAAAAGTCGTACTGTAGTAAAATATTGAAAAACTTAGTGCAATTTAGTGATGCTCAACAACTATGTATCCGTACAGGAGAGTATACAGAAGGAAATTTAAAGTCAGCTATACCACAAGAGAGAAGCTATGCCCCACTTCCACCATTTAGAGACGGTGAGGGCAGTGTTTGTCATTTAATCAAATTTCTTTCTCAGTTCAAAAGTCTTTCAAATTTATAAGTAACATTGTCGTTTCAAACAGAAAACACTTTGCAAAACCATACCTCAAAATCAGAGTAGCAGAAGCTTTGATGACTTGAAGAAAAGAAACATATATAAAGGAGTTCTATACCATATAATTTCTGTGATAGAAGCTACTCAACTAATCATCGCCAATCATGTCCTGCTAAATTTGCGAAAGAGAGAGGAAAAAGGGCGTTTTTGCAAATCTCAATAGTTTGGAAAAACGTTGAAAAGGTTGATGAAAAATTTGAATTACTATTTAAAACATTGCACACTTATTTTTTCAGATAGTGATGTTGAATTTTTGCTTTGAAGCCTATCGAGATTAGCAGAAAAGAATAGCTCGAATTTTTGAAACTGACTAAGCTCGTGTCGCATCCAACCAGTTCTGTAAAATTGCACTGTAAAATCATCCAACCAGCTGATGATTTATTGTCAATTGTATGTATCAGTGTAACTCATAACAAAACGACTGTGAAGTCCTCCAAGCACTCTTTTACGGATGTCTGGTCAACTAACCTAGTATTGCTGTCGATTCCGGTTTCCGCTTTAAAAAAGTAGTTTTGTAGTAAAATATTGAAAAAGTGCAATTTAGTGATGCTCAACAACTATGTATCCGTACAGGAGAGTATACAGAAGGAAATTTAAAGTCAGCTTTACCACAAGAGAGAAGCTATGCCCACCTCCACCATTTAGAGACGGTTGGGGCAATGTTTGTCATTTAATCAAATTTCTTTCTCAGGTCAAATCCTTTCAAATTTAAACATTGTTTAAACATTGAACATTGTTGATTCAAACAAAAAACACTTTGCAAAACGATACCTCAAAGTCAGAGTAGCAGAAGCTTTGATAACTTGAAGAAAAGAAACATATATAAAGGAAACTCTATACTATGTAATTTCTGTGATAAAATATACTCAATTAATCCTTGCAAATCATGTCCTGCTGGATTTGTGAAACTGCGAGCAAAAAGGGAGTCAACTTAAAGCCAACTATGCTACGGGCAGGAGAAAAGATGTGACAACAACTTTGCACTAAAGAGACGGTTGGAACAGAGTTTGTAATTTAATCAAAATTCTTTCTCAGCTCATAATTTTTTCAAATTCACAGGTAACATTGTCGACCGAAAAAGAAAACAATTTGTAAAACCGTACCTCAAAAACCAGACTAGCAGAAGCTTTACTGACTCCAAGAAAAGATA